GTGCTTCCGGGGGCGGGGGGCTGGCGCCCGGCAGGGGAGGCGCCGCGTTCGGCCGGAAAAAAAAAACACGATGCAGGGGCCCTGCGAGTCGCTGAGCACGCGTGTGTGGCAATGGCCAGTGTCGGACATCGGGGCCAAGCACGCGCCCGGACACTCGGTCCGGCTGCCGGGAGCAGGGCGCGTGCTTGGTGCCGATGTGCGACTGTGGCCGGCCACGCTTCGGGTCGAGGCCACCGGGCCGGCCGGCAGCACGGGGCGACGAAGGGGCAGGCCCACGGCGGGCGGACGGGCGGAGGCGCGGGAGGATGGGCGGCCGGTGGCTGGTCGGGATGCTCGGCCTATGGGGGCTGCCTTCTGCCGCGCGCGGGGGGGGGGGGGCGGTGCAGGGGGCTGCAAGGCCCAGCCTGGGCCGGGGGCCCCGGATGCCATGTGGTCGGCATGCCGGCCGGGGGCAGCCAGCGGCCCTGGGCAGCCGGTCGCCGCAGTGCAGGGGGCAGGTCCGGCACCGGGGGGGGGTCGCGACGCCCGGCTGGCGGCCACCGTGGGCGCTGCCCTGCCTCTCAGTGGGCCGACCGGCTGCCCCTGGCACGAGGGGGGATGCCCGGTGCTGATGGCGGCCGGTGCCCCCGGTCGGGGCCAGCGCCCGGGCCCCGGACGAGGAGGGGCCGCGCGGTGTGCATGCCTGCCTCCTGCCGGCGGATGCCGACACGCCGCTGGGCCACGCCAGCCACCGGCCCGCGCCGGTGCCCCTCCCCCCCCCCCCCCTGCGCACAGGCAGGGGCCGGCTCGCGGTGCGCCTGGCGGTCGGAGGCCAATGCCCGAGCAGGCATGAGCCCCCTCGCTGGGGGCGCCCCCATCCTCGGTCCCGATTAGTATAGTGGTGAGAATCCCCGCCTGTCACGCGGGAGGCCCGGGTTCAATTCCCGGATCGGGAGATCCTTTTGCCCCGGCGGCACCGCCGTGCCCTTTTGTTTCCTTGCCGCGCCGGTGCCGGCAGGGGGGAGGGCCAAGGAAGGCGTGGTGGGGCCCTGCCGGCGGCATGCGGCGGTGAGTCGGCGGGTACGTGCGCCGCCCCCCCGATCGGCGCGCAGGGACCGAGTGTGTCGCCGCTCCCTGTGGGGGCGTGGATGGGCGCGCGGCCCGGGTCCCGGTCCAGAGGGGTGAGCTGGGCCGGCGGCTGTCGGGGCGGAAGGCTCGGCCAGGGCGACCGGCATCGGGGCGACGCGAAGGTCACACGCCGGCCCGGGCGGTCAGCGAGGCCCTGGGCGCGAGGGTGCCACCGCTGGCGACATGCTCGGCAGCGCCTGACGGCCGGGCCCGGGGGCGAAGGCCGGGCGCGCCGACCACCCACCCACACACACACACACACACACACACACACCGCGGCACCGGTCGGCCGGGCGGGCGGCGGCCGACTCGCGCGGGGCTGGGCGGCCGGGCGTCGCACCCGACATGGGGAGGCTGGGGTTTGGACTTGCTGGCCGGGCGGCGCGGGCGGGACGCCCAAGCCGCCGGCGGCGGGCGGACACCATGCACGGGGGCTGGCGGCGCGCGTGTTCATGGTGGACGGGCCACGGACCTTGCTCCCGGGGCGAGGCGCCCCCCCCCCCCGCCCCCCCCCCCCTGGCAGGCGGGGCTCGAGGGTGGGGCGGTGCAAGGGGCGGCCCTGAGCCCGGGATGGTCGGCCGGACGGGGCGGCCATCGCTCGAGGGCCGGTCCCCGGATGACGCCGGCGCGTGCGCGGTGCGACCGGGGCCCGGGCAGGGCCGACCGCGATCTGCGGGCAAAGGATGCCCGAGGGCTGGCCGGCGGGGAGGGAGGCCGCCCGGCGCACCGGGGGCACGGGCCGTTCGAGGGCCGGGAGAGGCCGGGCATGCCTCTTGGGCGGGGCGCCGGGGGCAAGGGGAGATGCCCTGTGGAGGTGTCGGGACTACCGAAGGGATCGGTCGGCCACCGATGAGCAGGCATTCCTGTGCATGGGCGGCCGATCTGGCGGCGGGGTCATGCGTGTGTGTGTGTGTGTGTGTGTGTGTGTGTGTGTGTAGGTTGGCGGCGCCCTCGAGCGTGCGGGCTGCCGATCGGTGCGGGCGCCGACATGTGTCCGGGGGCCTGCGGGCGCCGTGCAGGGCCCCCGCCGCGTGCCCGGGCCACGGGCCGAGGAGGGTGCCGATCCCGAGCCCGGGATGGGTTGCCCCTGTCGGTGGCCGTCGGCTTGCCAAGCACCGGGGGGACATGCGCGCACCGCCGGACCCACCACGGACCAGGGGCAACATGCGGAGGTGCTCGGCCGACCGGCGGCACGGCCGTGGGGCGGGGGCACCCCGGCCGGCGGTCGGCCCGGGCGGCACCGACGAGCAAGGGCCCGCTGCGAGGCGCCCGCGGTCGGACCGGCCACCGGATGGGGCAGCGGGGGCCGGATCGCCCGGGCGGTCCCGGAGGACACTCGAAGTGCCGGGGCACCGCGACCGCCGGGCCGGCCGGGCCACCGGCGCCCGTGTCCGGCGCATTTTGGGGCGTATTTTTTTCCTCCTGCCCCGCGCGCGTGCCGGCCGAGCTGGTGGCCCCTGGCCGGAGTCCAGAACTCCCGGTCACGGCCCCCTGGCACCATCATACCAAAGGGGCAAGAGGCCGGCGGCGCGGGCGACACCGGACCGTGGGGAGGGGGAGGGGGGGAAAGAAAAACAAAAAATAAACACCCATCAGGCGCCAACACACGGGGGCGGCTGGCCGGGGGGCGTGCACGCGAGCGGCCACTTCCATGGGGGGGGGGGGGGGGGGATCGCCCGGGAGGCCGCCCTTATAAAGCCCGGCGGCCGGTGGCCGGCACACCGCTGCTTCCGGCACACCACCGGGAGTCGGAAGGCATTTTCTTGGCCCTTCTCGCCGTCTCTCGCTTGTCCAACCGCCCCCCCCCCCTCCCCTCTGACACTGCGTACATTGAAGGTGGCCTCCTCCAGGCGATCTTCTTCTTCCCCGCCCGAGCCCTCTTGAGGGTCTTTTCGCCTTCGGTCCAGCCGTCCATTCGTTGTCCTGTTTTCGCGGTCCTTGTCGCCGAGCCGACCCGATGCACTACCATATTTACCTGCCCCGGTGGTTCCCGAGCCTGTCGGGGGATGATCTGCCGGCCGCCGGGGAGCCTGCCCATCCGACGGACGGGCCTTTCGAGACTTTGTCGCGGGCGCCGGCGTTTCTGTCCTTCTGGAGCATGGAGCGGAGGCTTGCGGACTTGCAGTTTGCGGTGTGTGTTGAGATCGGAAACCGCGGGAATCCGAAGGGGCTCACCTTCCCGGAGGACTTCATTCTGGACACCGATTTCTTCAACGCCTGGATCGACCTGACGTTTGCCATGTCCAAGCGGTTGGTGCTCTACCGGCTGCCGCCGGCAAGCACCTGGACCGAGTCGGTCCTGTCGCTGGAGCCGCTGACGGAGGAGAACTTCCCGCACCTCGAGCAGCGCATCACCCCCTGGGAACGGGAGAACCGCGTGGCCCTGTTGGGGCTGCTGCTGGATGGCCCGGTACCCTTGCCGGTGGACCTGAGCACCGGGGCGGTGCAGCTCCAGGCGATGCTGACGCTGGAGCCGGTACGTGTGTCAATGTGTGTTTGTGTTTGTGTTTGTGTTTGTGTTTGTGCGTGTGTGTGTGTGTGTGTGTGTTTGTGTTTGTGCGTGTGTTTGTGTTTGTGCGTGTGTACGTGTGTGCTCGAATGTCGAATACAACAATCGGAAAGGGCACAGTGAAGGGGCGTCCAGCACGGCAGCGATGTCAGACCCCCCGGGAGCTCGGGCATTGGTGGGCCCCTTCTCTCTACTCTGGCCATGCCTTCCTCCCCCCCCCCCTCGGAAGCTGACAGCGGATCACCCTTTTGGCGGATGGGCAGCAACTTGTCCGCCTCCTGCAAGAGCAACATGCATGTGTCCTGGAAAAGGGAAGAAAGGAGTGTCTCCTACCAGGGCCGGACTTCCAGCACGCCCCCCCCCCACAGCCTCCCGGTTTGGATGGCCCCGGCACCACGGAGCCCGCCAAGCAGGACGACCCCCCCGCCGTGACACCCGATACCGGCTCATCGGAGGCGGCATCCGGCTCGGAGGCGGCATCCGGCTCGGAGGCGGCTTCCGGCTCGGAGGCCGCGTCTGACCTGGACGTGATATCCGACTCGGAGGCGGCTTCCGGCCCGGAGACCGTGTCTGACCTGGACGTGATATCCGACTCGGAGGCGGCTTCCGACTCGGAGACGGCATCCGGCTCGGAAGCCGCATCTGACCTCGACGTGGCATCTGGCCTGGAGGTGACATCCG